GACCCCTAACCCCAGCGGATCATCAGGAAATTATTTTTATGTGCGTCCCGTCAATGCACCACCACACCGGGCATACCTGCATTGCCATGAAGTTGGCTTTGATCCTGTGTAGTTGTTGATTGTCCAAAGGAAACCGGATAAACTGTTGGATGATATGTGGGCCAAAGAGCGCGTTGATGGTTTGGTTTATGGCACGGCTGACTGATGGTTGCGATATTCCTAAATCGTCGGCATTGCAAAGTTGCATTTTCCCTGTTGCTAAATATCGTAGTGTTGCCAAACATTTTATTTCCGGACTAATCGGGTTATTCCTGTTAGTCGGGGATTTTATTGCATCCCGCACTAATTCCACAACAAGTTTGATACCCTCACGATTTAGCCTATATCTCTTGATCAATTCACAGTCTTCCATTGTCTCCAAAACATTTAGTCTCTCAGCCATTTTCAGATTCTTTGTGAATAGGTCTTACTGAGTTAGGAGTCCTCTCGAGGACTTTTAAGCTCTCCCAGACTTAGGTGCTACTTTTAGGCGTAAAATACTTTGTGAATTGCTCTTAGTGAATAAAATTAGGAGTCCTAAATTTAAGACTGACACGCCCATTATGCTTAGGAGTTTCTCCTAAATTCGCCAGTTAGGAGCTACTTTTAGCCCTAAAATCCTTTGTGAATACGGCCCCAGAACAGTACATCATTTTAAATGATCCCTTAAGGATTATTTGTCTTGAGTTATGTTTTGCAATAATATTTTTGCACCCCTTTGTTTAATATGATTAATTCCCTTTTTATTTTTCTCTTGTTTTTCTCTGTAATTAGGACAATTCTGGAGAAATGGATTTGCTGGAGAAGGACCCCTAATCTGAAAAGTGCACAGCGGATCATCAGGACAGAGCTGCCATCCACCTGGACCCCCCAAGGTGCTGGAGAAGGACCCCTAACCCCAGCGGATCATCAGGACAGAGCTGCCATCCACCTGGACCCCCCGAGGTGCTGGAGAAGGACCCCTAACCCCAGCGGATCATCAGGACAGAGCTGCCATCCACCTGGACACCCCGTGGTGCTGGAGAAAGCAAAACGATCAGGAACATCCTCCACCCAGACCTCTGCTTAATGCCGTCCTACAGACTTGTGTCTTAGTTTCAGAATTGGATTTTGTATGTGTCCTTTCTTTTAATGGACATCTAACGATTATAGCTTGAGTCTGTCTGATTCCCCAAACAGCTGCTTCTATATACTTGCTGCACATATAATACAAACAAACAACTCGATAAACACACTTTTGCTGATATCTGTTTTACTGCTGGTGATGTTAAATATCATGATTGATTTCCTCTGTCTCAATGATGAAAGTTATAATAATAGAAGACATGAAGCTGCAGAGAGAGGATGGATATATTCTTACCTCTACTTTGTGATAAGATGAAAATACAATATTACATTGTAATTGTTAAACACATTGTTTATTTCATTTACTGAGGTTTTAATCATTATTTACAACATGTGTACATAAGCAGTGGAATAATAGGATATCTCTAGGTCATTAAACTGTCTTCCGTTTAATTGTATTAATACAAAAAATAGGTCATAGAAAATGTTTAATTGTGTATTTCAGCAGAGCGGGGGGGCACGGTGCTGCTGGACCTGGGGTCAGTGGGACATCATCTGGGCAGGTTTAGGGGAAGAAGGAGAATATAAACTGTTATAATCACAGCTATTAAGATTAGAACACTAATATTGTTAACAATCAATCTATACAACATGCTTTTGTTCATTTAAAAAACATATTGTTTTATTAGTACAGAAAAATTAAGACATATTTGAAATATTAAATAATATGATTAAATTACATCAGCTATATTTAATGAATTTGTTAACTTACTAATGTAACATTACTGGGGGCTAAAGGAACAGCTTCGTCTTATTTACCTGGCCATGGTTCTCTTTATTTCATCGCCGACGGTGATCTCCAAAAAATGTAAAAGTAAAGTTTCTGGATCCCTTTCAGCTAATTTGCTAGCCGGCTGCTGGAGCAACGCAACCAAACAGCGCGTATCACGTGACGTAAATACGAAGCGCTCCGTAGGCTAGAGACCGTCTCATTTCGTAGGCCGCTCGGTCCAGCCTACTCGGTCTACGTGGGCTGGATCCTCCGTGCACCGCGTAGGCTGCGTTCTCCAAAGGGTCCAGCCCCTGAATTGAGAAACGGCCGCAGACCGAGAAGCGAGGGAATTAAAAATAAGTAGTCTAACTTGAGATCCACCCTTCAGACGCAAGGAAAATACACAAGTGAAGGACTTAGGGATGCAAGTTATGCGACTTGGCATGCAGCTAATGTATGCAAATTATTCATCCTGTTCTTCTGATTGGCTAAGCGCACGAACGTTTCTCGTGTCGGATTGGCTGCTGTTGTCTCGGACACCTCCCCAGGCCACGTCGCACATTGCTCGCCATTTTCCCATCTTCTGAAGCCAGAATCTGTTTATTCTGCTGTCACGGTGTCATTCAACGCTGTCAGCTCCTAAATTAAACGTGACCGGAGACTAACTGAACTATTTAAAGAGTTTTCAATTGGTTTTCCTCTGCTGGAGCTGCCATAAACATGAACGTTTTCAGGCTAACCGGCGATCTCTCCCACCTAGCAGCCATCATCATCCTGCTGCTAAAAATATGGAAAACCAGGTCTTGTGCCGGTAAGTCGTCATATACCCTCTCTCACAGCGTGTCCGGTGTGTCTGTGCAGCCACAGTTGTGAGGGCTGTGGAGCTTGTCCTGTGATGTTGTTAGGAGCCACAGCCAGTCCTTAGCTAACCAACGTTAGCCAGCTGGCAGCTCACCCTGACGTCAGCCAGCAGAGAGACATTAACTCGACTGGTTGTAAGGGAGTCGTAATAAAAGCTAAAGTCAAGAAGAAGAAGCTGTGGCGTCCAGCTAGCATCAGATGTGTAGCTAGCGTGGACCCGCAGCGGGCCCCAACAATCTGAGGGAGGGAGGGTCAGGGGACCAGAGGGCCACATGCTGCGGGTCTTAGTTTGGCCTTTCAGTTGGACCAAACTTTGCTAGCTTGATGTCTCACCCCGGCCCCGGTCACTGCCGGCCGGTGTGTCCGCTCAGTGTGTCAGCACCCAGCACCAGGCTGACAGCTGCAGCGTCAGAGGGGGACACAGGCAGGGGACACGGGCAGGGGGAAAGATCGTGCTACAGGTTGTTATCAGGAGGAAACTTGGCTGCGTTCTTCCAAAGACCAAAGGTGAGGCTGCATCAGTGATACAGACGGTCACCTGAGTTATGTCATTACAGGGGAGCCTGAGAGGAAATATTACAGAGTTAAGGGCTTTATGGTCATATGAACAGTGGCTACAGTTTAGTTATAGCAACAGCAGTCTCAAGTCCTAGGCTCCTCCAACCATACAACATAAATATATAAGACATACAACAATAAAATAGAGCAAGAACAAACAGAGTAGAAATATACTAGTGCAATATAATGTTGTGCAGGTAATATGTGTTTCATGTTGGACCAGAAACACACTGGATGAAACCAGCTGTGTGAATAATAGTGTATAACAACTATATTTAGTAATGTAGCGATCTCCCCCCCCCCCCAGTCTGACAGGGACCTGGGAAGCAGAGGCTGTAGGAACTAACTGCTTATTAAAGAGTGAATGTGTAACTTCTTAATATAACATGCTCCTGAACTAAAATAGCTACCATTACATGCCAGAGAACCGGAATAATAAACTCACTTTTTCCAAGCAAATGTTACGTTTTATTTTTTAAGATTTTGTTATCTTAGTCTAGGCTTTGATATTTAATATGTACTGTCTGTATAGAGGCTGGCTGCAGGAATGGGACGTTGTATTGTGAACAAATGAAAAGCTGTGTTTCCCAGTCACATATTGCTGGTTCAATTTGGGAACCTGATCAAACACAATAATGTTTGAATGAAGATGTTGCTAATGAAGTTTAAGCACTCCACTAACCTTACTGTGAGCTACGTCTGCTTCCTTCAAACAGAAATCATGTTAAGGATTCTTGGACGTCAGAATGTTTTGAATGCCCTCTGCTGTCTCCTCAGGTATTTCTGGGAAGAGTCAGGCTCTGTTTGCCCTGGTGTTCACCAGCCGCTACCTGGACCTCCTCACCTCCTTCATCTCTCTCTACAACACCACCATGAAGGTGAGACACCCCGCTCTCACTCTTATATCCTGTTCAACTAAATACAATGTTCAGGCCACACCTGTGTTTGCTAAAGGAACACATGTCGTGTTACTACTTGATTGTATGACGGGTCAGTACACACTGGAACAAGTGAATACTTTCCTCTCATGCTTCTTGTCTGTCTTTCAGGTCATCTACATTGGCTGTGCGTACGCCACTGTGTACCTGATTTACATGAAGTTCAAGGCGACCTATGATGGGAACCATGACACATTCAGAGTGGAGTTCCTGGTAGTCCCTGTTGGTGGCCTGGCTTTCCTAGTGAATCATGACTTCTCTCCTCTAGAGGTAAGATACCCCCCCCCCCCATACAGCGGAGCTGCTTCTGATTCTGAATGGCATTTATCCTGCAACAGGTCATCTCTGGGTCTCAGTCACACACACATTTGGTTCTCTCATGTCTGTGAACATACATTGCTCTGTCTTTGCTTTCTCTCTCACTCACTCACTCACTCAAGGGCATAGGAAAGATAGTATAAACATGACATGTTAAGTACACACACATATGTTGGTGTATTTTAACACACAGTGCAGGTTTGTCAGAAAGAAAGAACATGATATCTAGAGTTAAGAGAACACACAGTTTGGTTACCCTCTTGCACACAGCTTCTAACAGCCAGTAAACCATTTATATTAGCTTCAAGTGTTAAGAGACACAACACTGTGCTGCTAATGCAACACAATGCAACACAATGGCTCACTGTTGCTCAAGGTTTTTTGCACTGAGATTTGCATCTTCAAATTAAAATACAAAGCACACATTTGCAGTCCAGTAGCGTACCTAAGCCTAAAGCTTTGTGTAGTTGAACTTAATTTACTACTATAGTTATTTTTGCTAGGAATCTTGGAACTTACAGGAAAAGTATGCACATGTATTTTACCTCGGACATCTGTGCACCATTATTTCCCACAAACACTGTCTCTGTCTGGCTCAGATTCTCTGGACATTCTCCATCTACCTGGAGTCGGTGGCCATCCTGCCTCAGCTTTTCATGATCAGCAAGACGGGGGAGGCAGAGACCATCACCACCCACTACCTGTTCTTCCTGGGCCTGTACAGAGCGCTGTACCTCATAAACTGGATATGGAGGTTCTACTTTGAGGGGTTTTTCGACATGATCGCCATTGTTGCCGGGGTGGTGCAAACCATCCTCTACTGCGACTTCTTCTATCTTTATGTAACAAAAGGTAAGTGCTGCAGCATTTTGTCTTGTTTTATAAAACTGGGACAGAGTTTTTTCTTTTGCTTCTGCTTTAGAATCAGTGGTTACTTAACTGTGAATCAACTCAAAGCACTTTTTACTGTGGGGCTATTCAGCTAATTGAAGAGTGACCACTGTCAAGTCAAATATCATCATCTTGAAATCTATATGCACCCCTAGACTATCCAGTAGGCATGATAACGTTTTAATTAATGTAATAAGTGTAGAACTAAATGGCATTGAGAAATGTCATTCAATGTATTTCACAGTAGCACCACGTCTCAGAAACAATGTCGCAGTTCAGATCAGGTTATAGAAGCTAACGTCTCTGAATTTAAAAGTTAAACCTGATCTGGAGAGGAGATGATTATTACATTTTGGAATAATGGCGTGCTCAATAGTTCTATGAAGATAGAAAGCTAGAGAAAGAAGGTTAAAGTCCTTCCTCAGCTCAACGCTGCTGCGCGGGATGAGTCTGGGCAGAGCTTACACAAAGAGACCGACCCTTCGTCCTGAAGCTGCAGTAACACTGTGTTGGATGCTCTTGTTTCAGTGCTGAAAGGGAAGAAGCTGAGTCTGCCAGCTTAGGTGCCAAAGAGGAGTGTTTAGGCAGACGGACAGAGGGGAGGATATGAGGGGAGGACGGGTGGTAGTGGACACCCCTGACCCCCCCCNNNCCCCCCACCACCACCACGGCTTCCTCCTCTTCCCCTCCTGCCACTGTAAGATGCCTGAGACAGAGAGCGGATGGGCTGCTGGCTGCTCCCTCTCCAGAGTCAGTGGATCAGAACTCCTGCAGAGGCTGGTCCATGGCCTTCGGATTTCTGTTTGACGCACCTTGCCTTAACTTTTTTATTACTCTGTATAAAGAACGGGAAAAAACGCGAGAAGTTTTCTACAGAAAAATGTGTTCTCTGAAGATTTGACACATTACTGAAGATGTATAATTGCCTATAATTTGGCATTGTATGATATTGAAGCAGACTTTTTGTGGTGGGATTTTACTGACTCAAGCGTTTGTCATAGTATTTGCAATCAAAATAAATGTGCATTGTTTTTCCTGAATCAGTTTGAGGAGGATTTGTAGAATCCTCATAACTTTGCTGGTCAAATGACTCGTGTTTAGCTCTTCTGTTTTTGGTCACGATGCATTCCCATGTATAAAGAATACCCGTTTTAGTGTCCCTTGGTAGAAAATACATCTACACGCAGATACCATCATTTAACATTCTCCTTTCCAAAAGAAGGATTTTTTTGGCAGGGCCCTAAAAATGGACTGATAAAAGTGGTTTCTGTGTAAAACAAAGTAAAGGGTTGAAAAGACACCAATGAACTTCTATCACTGTAAATGTCTTTCTTCATTGAAAAGGCCCTTTTACTACCCAGCAGGCGCAGTATGCATCACCTGTAAATATACAACATGGAGTTCATAGGCTCCTTAAGCGAGTTCACTGGTTATGTGCTGAACTCACACCAGGATTGAAAGTCTTTAATTGTCCTTTAAGAGCAGATATGATTTCTTTCTTGGTTTAATATGAACAGTCTGTAGCTGTGCTTCATTTGAACAGAGCACACTCCCACACCATCACTGTTACACTCAATCTGAAAGACTGCAGACTTATCTGCTTCTATTTGATTTGATATGCATCATTCCAAGTTTGCTTTTCATTTCTAACCAGAGCTTCTGCATGATCTTGCCACCACAAATAAAGAATTGATGGGAAACATTTGTCTCAGTGCTATGGTTACAAATATGTCCCCACTCATTTACTATTGCAGCCCTAAACCTCTCTGGACTCTCCATGTAGAGTTAACACAACACATCTAAATTGATGCAAAAGAACCAGAGATAGCCCTTTCTTTCAGCACACACAT